AAGATGGATTCACGGTGATAATAGTTATTTTAATTTTAATATTTAGGACAAAAAGCTCTTAATATTAATATTTAATCACTTGTTTATCATCGTTAATAAAAAAAAATAATTACTATTAATATTGCGTTATTTATTTAATAAATATGTCTTATTATATTTTTAATATACAGTGTTAGGACATAGTTTAATAATAAACTCTTTTGACAAAAAAAAAACAAGATTAACAATCCTTCTGTGGCGCACGTGAGTTTTAAGCATTCAGGCTACATCTACACAAAAACATATTTACTCATTTTTTCACACTTTTTAAAAATAATGCATTTTTGACATTTATTATCTTTTATACAACTATAATTTTCGTTAAGATAAAAATCCTATTTTTACATTTAAATTTTAAACGTTTTTTGCTTTTTGTTATATGAATAGTAAAAAAGTTACCATTTAATTTGTTTGTTTTGTTAATTTTATTCCGTTTATAGTGAATTTAAAGTTATTTTCATATTTGTTCTATATTGATTTTAGTGACATAAGCTTTGAGTTTCGCATCTACATTCTGACCGTTTATTTATTTAAAAGAATATTTTTTCACTACTAACTACTAACTTAACTAATATGAAACATTTTCGAAATCTAATCAAAAATGTCCCTTTATTATTTGTAAAAGTACACTTTTTCAAAATGTATTTAACAAAACAATGATAAACATTAACAATTTTTTTCCTTAAATTACATTTTTTTTTTAAATATGTATTTAAATAATAGAATAATTAATAATTCACAATTCAAAAACAAAATTTGATTTATTTGTTAAGTCGGTTGGAGGAAAAACATTTTTTTTTTTTATGTGTTAATTCAATATTTAATTTAATTATTTTCTTTAACTATTCAATTATTTGGTATTTAATTAGTTTTACTGTATTTATAAAGCTATCGATATTTTTTATTTTACCAATCATTTCATAATAATATATACAATTATATTTTTTTTAAATTTAAATATTCAGTTATATAAACATATCTATCCATAAACATTTCTCTCCGACTTTCTATTCCTTGGTTTCTTAGTAACTGTACAGTAACACCACACAATACTAGGTTTAAAACGAATGCTGTGGAGAACTATAAAGAAAACGAAATACGAGTTTGTTTAAAAGAAATTAAAGAAGAAGTCTCCAAGGCAAATGAACGTGAAGCAGAACAGTTTATTAACACTTATTTATTTTAGTGGTGTTCATGTTTCATGAAGGCATACTAAATAAGTTTTTTCTCTTGAACAGCATTAATAATCGTAAAGCTCAAAGTCCCATATCGTAAGACATGCCACAATGTATTATGCATTAGATTTTGATAACGTTGATGCTAAACCAGCGTAGTGCATATTCAGAATATGCCGCAATTCAAGTGCAGCAATATACGACCACCATTAAAACCGTTTATGTTCGATAAAAATTTTTACCTATATCGCGAGCGGAGAATTTATTGTGTGCTTTTGGAGAACCAATGAAACTGGTAAAAACAGGGACATTGAAAATGCTAACTGGTCGGTATTTTCAGCTTTTCCCGTTACGGCCAGTTGATCTATTATATACACAATATACGATTTTCATTCAGAAATAAAATATAGATCCGAATAGTTCAATAGCCATTTCGAATTGAAATTCTTTGAATATGATACGGGGTGGTACTATATTCGATCGACAACGTTCCTACCCCACAGTGATTTCACCCTGTATAGTACAGATGAAAGATAAATCGTATTTATATATATTTATGCATACAAGGTGCGTATAAATATAGCGCGCCAGACCTACACCGTCAGCCGTCAGCCTTGGCGTCAGTTGACGCGCCGCGCGGTAGACACAAAGCACCGTACAAATCTGACGAACTAGGCCCGTTGTTGGAACGACGCAGGCAAAGCCCGGGCCTGGCGCGCCATATTTATACGCACCTATAGATATGTTGATTGTTTTTTTTTTTGTTATCTAAATATACTGTAAAATCTATTACCGGTGTGAACTTAGCTACCAATTTTTAGCGACTAATTTTCCGTAAATTGCCGAACTGTCAGTGGCGTCGTAAATATTGTAAGAGGCATTCAAAAAACTGCATGCATCTACCACTAATATTTGCAAATAAAATAATTAATTTGACTTTATTATTTTAAACTTGGTAGGATATAAAAGAGAAAATAGTTTCAATCAATTATATCGGTTCCTAGACATAAAACCATGTATATTTTCTAGGAAAAAATACCACTTTTGATATGTATTAAAGAGAACGACTTACAAGATCAAATAGGGTGTTTATCAACCCCAAAGGGAAAATAGTCGCAATAAACTATCTCTGTTTCCACGCATAAAAACATTTATTTTCTAATACAAGTTAGGTACAAATACAACTTACAATATACTTTAATAAAGAAAACCATTTGCAAGTTTAAATAGGGCATCAATCAGCCCCAAAGGGAATTTTCCGATTATTTAATAGGAAACGACAAATATTTCCGCTCCTAGACATAAAAACATTTTTTTTTCTGGCATAAGTTAGGTACAAATACCACTTTAACATGCCTAAAAGAGAACGACTTGCAAAATCAAATAGGGTGTTTTTTAAAAAAACGTTTAAAATATAAATATAAAAATAGGATTTTTATCTTAACGAAAATTATAGTTGTATGAAAGATAATAAATGTCAAAATTGCATTATTTTTAAGTGTGAAAAAATTAGTAAATATGTTTTTGTATAGATATAGCCTGAATGCTTAAAAATCACGTTCGACACATAAAGATTGTTAATCATGTTTTTTTTTCTATCCATGAAATTTTTAGTTAAGCTATGTCCTAACCTTTTGAAAACACCCTGTATATTAAAAATATAAAAATGTAATAAGACATATTTATTAAATAAATAACGTAATATTAATAATAATTAATTTTTTTTATTAACGATGATAAACAAGTGATTAAATATTAATATTAAGAGCTTTTTGTCCTAAATATTAAAATTAAAATAACTATTATCACCGTGAATCCATCTTCAGAATAATAAAATAAATCAAAATGTTCAGTCGTAAAATATTTTTATCACCATTATAAATTTTATAATACGATTAATAATTTCCCGCATTGTTGAGGCTCTACATCTTTTCAGAAATATAATTAAATTCGGAAAAAAAATATATTTCTATATAGCTCTCCTGTTCTTTTTGAACATTCGGTCCTCCTATAAAGATTTTTTCTTGCGCTTGTTTAGGGACATTTGTCCTGTAGTTATTGCCTTTTTGCAAATTTGTCGTTCATTTATTTCTTCTAAAGAAGTGGCTTGTCATCACTAGTGATATATTCGCTTTCTTTATTGTTCTTTCTAAATTCTTACATTTTGTCTGCTTAGAGTGACTCGCCTCTTAGGCAGATGCTTTACATACTTTATCGTTCCTGTTAGTTAGATGTCTTCTATAGTTTTAAGATGCACCGATAAGGAAAGTGACGTCTCTTCTGAGAAGAAAATAAAGTTTCTTCTGATATCTATTTTTAAAAAACGTTTTAGAAAGTAAAATTTCCTCTGTAGAATATACAATTTCTTCTAATATTTCTTCTATGAAAAATGAAACTTCTGCTTATATTCTATAGAGGAGAAAATAAAGATAAGAAAGAAAATAGAAGAAATTGAAAATATGAAAAAACAAGTTGTGGAAAATAGAGAAGAGGCCATGGACTATAAAATAAACAGTTGCCACAACCAACTGATACAGGAAGTTTTCTTGGGCTCTGTACGTATTATCCAAGATTCATAAAGAAGATCTTGGATATTGCTAAGCCATTAAGACGACTTACAGACGCAACAACAGAGTTCTACTGGGACAATCAACCTGCCTTTGAAACTTTAAACAATCATTTAACCCCACTACCAGAAGGAGAATGAATTCTAGATATTGCTTTCGCAGATTCAGGAATGATAAGTACTAGGTTATTTGTCAAGTACTCTCCAAACCTGAGCGAAATTACTGCATCATTCCTGGCATTTGTGAAGTGTGTGGAACATTTCTACCATGATGGACACGCCATTTCAGAAAGTTCTCTACACCTTTGAATGATCTCGAAGTTGCAATTTTTAGGAAATGCATTTACTTTTCGTCCAGTGTAAAAAATGGTGGAGAATGTTTTGAATTTCGATAATAATTCTGGCGAAGGCATCGCTGTCATAGTAATTTCTGGTGAATGTGCAAACAATTAGGGAAACTCCACCATTCTATATTAAATAGGCCACGTTTGCTGATATGGACAGTATATAGTTAGATATTGTTGTGTTAAGATACATTGTCAAAGTAAATTAGTAGGTTTGAATATAAATAATTTAAGTCATAAAATATTTAGTGTATTCAGTAAAAATAAATGAATCTTGCGACTATTTTCTCATCTATTTACCATCATTTTAATTCGTCTTTAAATTGATGTTAGATTTGATAACCATAATAGAAAACTAGGTGCGAACCACGTTCCAATCTTTTGAAGAGGTTATTTATTAAACATTTAAAGCTGAAAACTTTGTGGAAGTTGATCGTATTCTCACAAAATATGTGAACAAAATCAGTTAAATAAAATTGAAACAACTAATAGATATGTTTTACTACAGTATTACGTAAAATATGTGGCGCCTTTGTCTGCTTACGTAAAAGTATTTGGCCATTTATTGCTCTAAACTCCTGTTCGCTTGGAAATTATTTTAACATTATAATCGTATTATCGTAAAAAAATGGACTGCAATTAGACGATATCGGTTTATTCTCTACCTCATTAAATTACTGCAGAATAGAATTGATAATCCTCAATAATTGCCAAGTCAATTTTAAAATTGGATTCAAAGCGATCTTTTAACTGTTATCAGTTATAATTTATTAATTGTCCATTGTATGCTCTTCAATTATTTGTTTTTAATTAGATTATATTTTTATCCATTTTCTCCTAACAAAATTGAATTTTGTATTAAATTTTCTCTTTCAGGTTGTGGTCGAATCATCTACGTCTGCTTTAGAATATGGAGATTTGGTCGTAGAAGAAGGATCTCCTGTAAATCCAGATTTACACTTTGATTCGCAGTCTATGCATCTCTATGTGATGACGGAAAAGAAGGTAAGGTGTTTTAATTCAATTATTTATTATTTAAAAAAACTTAAACGTAAACTAAAAAAAAAAAACAAACCATAAAATAAATGAAAAAAATGTTGATGAAGAAAAAGTCGATGAAGAAAAAATCGATGAAAAAGAAGTTGATAAAAAAAAATAAATTAGACTATTGCTATTATTTTATTGAAATCTCTTCTTGAAAATTTTATTTCGAAAATTTAATTTTTTTTTAAATGTTTATGAAAACAATTTACTTTTACAACTCAGTTTACGAAAACATGTTCAAAAAAATTACAAGCTAGTTGTCATTTATGCCAAAATTTTGCAAGGTACAACGTATATAGAATTTTCGAATTTTATATCAAACATATTATAACTCGGAGTCATTTTAATGAAATAATTACTCCCTCAAAAACTGCTGTTACGAACACACCTGAGCAGGCATCACACCCTCCAGATCTCACAGCTACAGATATATTTTTTTCTGTAGAGATAACCAAAAGATTCAGAAATATATATCAATAAACCTTGAATCCTCTCCTTGAACGTTAGAACAACATTCGTGAGAAATCGAAGAGTTGGTTGTAAGCACAGTGATTGAAAATGTCGTCAGAAGAGACCATATTTAAAAAAAAAAATGGGGTCATATGAAAAATACATTATGAGTCTCATTATTATCATTAAGATTTAACTTTATTTATTTTAGGTATCAAAAGTTAAAGTTCAAGAATGTACAGTTTACAGGAATTGTTTGGAATGCTTGGGAGTTAAAGACCCCTACTGCGGTTGGTGTTCACTAGAAAATAAGTAAGTAACCCTTCATTTAATCATACTAAGTACAGAGTGAATCCTAAGTGATACTTTTTTACCTGTGTATAGAAGTCGTTAAAATAAACATATTTTTCGCTCTTTTCAAAAAATTCAAATACAGTGTGGGCCATTAGTGCGTGGGTGAATTAATAGATTTTTTTAAATAAAAAGAAATCTGTAAATGAAAAATATCAACATATTTTTATATAATTAGAAAGGTAATCGAATTCTGCATGTAATGAAATGAAAAAAATTTGGTAGTCCCATTTAAAATAATCAAGTTACGTTGGATTAAAATTTTGCAAATTCGCGTAGCTATTACTTTAAATACGAAAAGGGTTTGACTTTGATCGTCTGGCAAATGTTAGTACATTTCATGCTTAGTAACACTGTAGAGTCACGGCACTCTAAGTTTTATAATAACTGCGATATTCAATTTTTACTAGACAACTACTTTTTGAAAAAATAATGAATTGCTGCTTAATGACTCATTTTAGATACCATGTGTCATACATAAAGTCATACTAAAATTGACGGAGGAATCCAAATATGCAATAATATACAGTGGGTTCCTATTAAAAAAACATAACTTTGATATAAATCACCCTGTAAAACAATTGGAATTTCATCGAAAATATTTTTAGGTTGTAGCCTTAGAGGTCCTACACTATGCCCTAAAAATGGATTTTAAAAATGTACCTTAATAAACCCGCAATCTTCCCCATCCACGCACTAATGGCCCACCCTGTATAAGAAAGATACAGAAATTTAAAAAAATACGGGCTGGACGTTCTTTTACGTTACCATTCTGTGACTGAACTATACATTTATAATTGAATTTCAGATGTAGCTTACGTTCTGACTGTCAAGACGCTGCCAAAGATCCTTTATATTGGATCAGTTACAAAAGTGGAAGATGCACAACTATTACCTCAGTTATTCCCAACCAGTTACAAAGAACAACAGCAAGAACGGTAGGTTTATATAATGAAGGTTTATGTATTGAATCAATAGTTACACAACTAATTAGATGCTTATCAGAATCAAAGATTATATTAAATACCGGAGGCAACACTTTGATCTTCCATTAAAGCTCTTTATCAGTCCACGCTTAAGCTGCTATATAGGAGTTTTCTGCAGTTGACACATACATCGCTATGAAGAAAATAAAAAATTACGTTCAGGATTTTTGGTTTATTGTATTAAAAGATTAAAAAACGTTTTTTTCCGAAAGTGGCTTTCATAAAAAAAAAATAATGCAAATAATTAAGCCTAGAGCCGTTGTAGTCGTATGTTCTACAAATATGAAAATTTAGAAGAAATGAACATGTCTAAAATAAAAAATAATACGTTTTTTGGTTACCGATTAATTTATATCCGTTTTGGTTTTAGTTGGATTTGGTAATCGATAATTTACCAACTTTACAAGGACATTTTTTGTGCGCCTTCACGGCTTTAGATAAGACTTTAATTACAAACGCTACAAGAAAGGGTTCTGGAGTAAATTGCACAACACCAAGGACTGATTCCTTACCATCTATACCACCAGCACAACGTAAGTAATATTTTAAGCTATTGTATCAATATACTAATTGTATCTACTACAATGAGATAAAGCTGCTGTTGATGTTTATTTTGAGACTATAAAAGAACTAGTGTATAACATCTCTTAAATGTGAGTAAAATAATATTTTTATTAAGCTTAATATTTGTTACAGATCATTTCACTGCCAAGCTCTCGGTTAGAATGACTTCTGGGCCGGATTTCGTAGCAACAAACTTCACTTTTTTCGACTGCAATACTTACAGTTCCTGTACGCAGTGTGTATCTTCGTCTTTTCCTTGTGACTGGTGTGTAGATGGACATAGATGTACACATGACACTGCCGAAAATTGTAGAAACGACATTCTAGTTACTGGCGTTAGTGTAAGTATTTTTTAAATAATGTATTAGGCATTTCAAACAAAATGTTTGCCTGATGAAGATGATGTAGAAACCCCAATTTTACAGTGATTGAGTTTAGATGTGTGGTAAATGCTCAGTTACGTGGCCAAAATCCCTACACCGGAAGTAGCAAAAGTCACATTTCCAAAGGACATTCTTCCTAGTAGGGTCTGTTAAGGAAATAGCGCGCAAAATTATCAATGAATTCCTGAAAGCAAAAACATGTATGCAGAAAAGTCAGTAACTGTTTAACTTTGTTGGGTTCAGATATGTCTAATTTAAGTAACATATTGTTCAATTGTTCTCTTTCTACAGAATTTAGTTTCGATTTCTCATTATTTCGTAGGGAAATACCAATAAATTGAACTCATTCTGTACCAAGTAGACGCACGCGTAGGTTCATCTTCAAAACGGCATTGTTTATTAGGCGCGTCTTAGAAGAACCAATCAGATTTAAATTATCCTTTTAGTACTACAAACAAATTGCCAAGTTTAATCAAAATCGTCAAAAGAGTGTTTAAGATAGGAAAAACCCGAATTAAAAAAATATAATGCCCTTTATCTTAAAAAAGCAATTTGAAATACATGTTTATATGACATTTTAGTAATAAGACATGAAATTTAGTATATTTATTTTAAACTAACCATTCATTCCAATTTCTTTTTCAGAGGGCAGGACCAAGTTACAGATCAGGTCCAGGTTTTTGTCCGACAATAAACGCCACGGTCGGAAATTCGCCAGAAATTTTAGTAGCTTCTGGAATAAAGAAAGCTATTAAAGTTAAGGTCCATATCATCGGACAGTTTATCGTTCAAACTAGATTCGTATGTCAATTCAATATAGAAGGAAGAGTAACTAGCGTAAATGCTCAACTACTAGGTGATACTATTTACTGTGATGCCATGGAATTTTCCTACACATCTAGAGCACCAAATATCACTGCTACTTTTGCTGTTATTTGGGGAGGTTCAAAACCTTTGGATAATCCAGACAATATTCATAGTAAGTGAAATTATATTCTAAATATTGAGAAAAACAAAATCTCAAAGCTATGCGTCAAATAATACAAGCGACTATTTCTCTCCGGGAAACAATTACTCCTTTGGATAATATCACAACAGGCATTTAATTATACTGAAGAGCAGAGATAGTAAATTATTTTCAACACTCATAATGCTAGACTTATAAATCAAAAATTAGCTTTTTTGGGTTTTGTCAAATATTTCCATAACTGACCAGAAAATGTAGAACTTTTATGAACAATTAAATTACCTGTCACGCGATTTAGTAGATTTTTCTATAAATCCGATCCACCCTGTATACTATCAAATTGAAATTTGTTCTCAAATGCATTCAAAATGTGATTTTTATAACATAAAAGACTTGTTGAAGTTGATTTACCTTATGAGAAACCATGCTATTCCTGAACAATTATGTTTTGCTGACCAGGTTAATTACACAGGAATTAATTTATCAAACAACTTTGGAATTTCAGATTTAATTGAAACTCCTCCGTAATTTGATATATTTTCTCTGTCCCCAGACTTATAAATAGGAGTTATACAACTATTATTCCAGAAGCTTGGAAATACTTTTTTTAGTTTTTAAATATTAGTTCTCCAACAGATGCAAGGGTTGTGTGAAGTACCACAAATTTTCAAGAACAATGCTGGTACATCATTATGTATCTGTAACGTGTGGAGGGTGCGTTATCACACGGCACTTATTCCTTACTATGCCTATTGTGCATCCTCCTAAGTAGATAGGCACCTTCTAGCACGTGAGTCAGCCTACAGATTTAATGTAGTTGACAACGTCGCCAAGAGGTGCTTCTCTTATATCGGCTGCTGTTAGCGAATTCTCACCGAACACAAATCTTCTAATAAATGAAAGCATCGGGTAATCGTAGAGGATATGCTCATCTTCTTGTTTGCACCCTCTGCAGAGTGCGGATTTTGACAGCCCCATGATATGGAGATGCTTCTGTACATATTCTGTCTTGTCGTAGTCAAATATTTGTTTGCTATAGTGTTGTCAGAATAACTGAAAAGCTCCCTGGGAAATTGCAGAATAACCAGTTCATCTACATACGCTATTGTGTAGTGACTGTCAATTATTGAGGTCGTGGACCATATTTCACAGTAGAGGAGACACCCCCTCGCAACCCATTCTCTTATATTTAACTCTCTATCAACTAAATGAAGGGCTGAATCAATAGATCTGTCTGGGATGTATACATGTTGATTTGGGTGTCATATATTTCTTATGTACCTTTCGCATAGCCTTTCCAATGTCTTCATGGAAAATAATGTCGTTAATTGGTCGGTGTGTTGTTTGGACAGTGTAATCCATACTTACAGGTTTTGGATATAAAAACTACTTTTACCTCTTTCCATTTTTGGGGGATATACCTCGGAGCCAACGAGGAACCTACCGGGTAAGGTGTGATTTCTTTCAGAGCCCACTGAAGTAGGGCTGGATAGATACTGTCAGGTCCTGGCAATTTAAATGTTACATGGGGGATTTATGGAGTTCTTTCTTGTAGCAGGATCCCGTCCCAAAACATCACTGTTCCCCCTTGAAGACTGGCTTGTCGTCCATGGACTCTTAAAATACAGATTCGGTGGCTGGCATCAGATCTAAGACCATTCTTCTGTCGTCCAGTTTTGTTGCTCCAAACACCAAATTAATCGTTTATATTTTGTCTATATAGCTGTGAAACTCAAGTCATTTCCTAATCGTTTTCATTGATATACTTATTCCTGTTACTTGTAGAAGTTGTCGTTAAAGTTCTAGATGAGTTATCTTTGAATTTCTTCTAACGTCTGAGCTAAAAATCGGTCTTCTATATCAGTTTTTTAGAATTTTATAATTCTAAATATCTTGAATATGTTTTTGAAACATTATGAAACACCCACTGCACGGGCAACGACTCTTTGGCACATACCCTGATCTATTAAAGCAATTATTCCCTCAAAAAGTATACTTTTATTTATTTTAATTATTAAAATACACAAAATCTACGATATTACTTCTAAAATTGAAAAAGACAAAGATAAACATAACTTAGAAGACTATTGCTATAATTTTGTAATTATTTTTCAGTTGTAATCTATCGTTGTCGCGACATGGCAGACAATTGTGGAATTTGTTTAGCACTAGCTGAAAAATATGACTGTGGTTGGTGCCAAAGTTCTGATAGATGCGAAGTCAAAGACCAGTGTGAAAAGGGATCAGCTGTTTGGTTAAATAGGAGCCAAACTTGTCCAAATCCTGAAGTTACCTCCTTTAGTCCTGAATTAGGACCTTGGGAAGGTGGCACCAATATAACTATTAGAGGAATCAATCTGGGTAAAAATTTCCAAGATATTTATTCAGGCATAAGTATTGCTGGAATAAACTGTCAGCCATATGAACACCTCTATATCAAAACAAAGCAAATAACTTGTCAGGTAAAACTATTAAACTTATTTATACTTTGTTCAGATTAATGGTGTTCTTGTTGTAACAGGTTGATGGACCAGGTACCAAGGAACTACGTCAAGGACCAGTTACAGTAAAAGTTGAAGACTACCGGGGTGAATCAAAAACTCACTACAGATTTGTTAATCCTAACATTACTGGAATCTCACCTAAATGTGGACCAAAATCAGGAGGCACTATGCTACAAATCACAGGAGAATATATGAACGCTGGTAGCAATATTCAAGCATTTCTAGATGATCTTCCATGCAGAATTTTATCGTAAGAAAACTATAACTGTCTTTGATCCAATTTATATTTATATTATATTTCAGTACTGAACAAAACCAGGCATTGTGTATTACCAGTTCATCAAATTCAACGTCCAAACGAAAATTAAAAATGAAATTTGACAAAGGAGATCGATATTTGGACAGCATGATGTTCGAATATGTAGATGACCCTATAATTGAATCTGCGGAATCTGGAGTTGCCAGCCAAATTAAAGTACCAAAAGGCATTCCAGCTGGAGGCATTAAAATATCAGTGACTGGTAGAAATTTAGCTTTCATACAAAAACCTCAAATGTATGTTTTTTATGAACAAAAAATGTTTATAAGTGTAAGTATATATTTATATTTGATTAACAACAGTAGCCATAACATTATGATTTTTTTTAGGAATGTACAGTTTTGAGTAACACTAGTATGAACTGTCTTTCTCCAATTATCGATGCCGCCGAAGAAGTCAAATTAGATGCAGATAGTCCTTTGAAACTTGAATATGGTTTTCGTATGGACAATGTCACTGGCGTTCAGAATCTCACTCTCAATAAGGATTTCAATCCATTCCTGTTGTACCCAAATCCAATATTTATACCATTTGAAAAGGAAGTTAAATATTACAAGTCAGACTACTTAAACATTAACGTAAGTATTTTTCTCTGTAAATTTGATGTTTTTTCAATCCTATGTTTAAAAAAACATGTATAACGAGTTTCTACATTATCTACCATACAATAGAGAGTTATCGCTAAAGTCTCGATCAAATATGGATAAACATGCACATTAATGTTTTAGTAAGAAATAGTGCTAAACAAGAATATGGTATTTCTTTTGTTCAAATATGGGCATCGGGGTATCTGTTATTTAAAATGCGTTCCGCCACTTGCAAATTTTTTCACTTTCATCAATAATTATTACAGCTGTTACTTTGTCAGCTAGACATATCATTTTGTTATTATAGATACTTATAGGCGTCGTTAAACAATAATTAAACTAAACATTCAAGATATAGACAGCTGTAAAAACGTCATTAAAAAAAAATAACTATTTTACAATTAAAAGCATTTTATCTATCAAAGTCACCATAAATTCAAAGTTAGTGTTCTAAATAAATACCTTTTAAACGAGGTGTCACTTGCCGTAATAATATTATTGGAAGCAACGTTCATCTTGGTTTTTACTAAAATTCATGTTTCAAATTTAAAAATCACTTTTTACATTTTTTTTACAGTATTAACATTTATTTGAACTATTTTAGGGTCAAAATATTGATCGTGCCTGTCAAGAATCAGATGTCGAAGTCCTTATTGGTAAAAGCACATGCAATGTGACCTCATTATCTCGACAGCAGTTAACGTGTCGACCTCCAGAGACCCAACCACCTGCTGTTAACGATCAAGATCATCCCAATAGTGAGGCATTGCCTGAAGTGGTGGTGATTGTTGGAGGTTCACTACGTTATAACATTGGAGTTCTCTCATATTCTTCGCCTCAAGGTTCAAACTAAGTTTTTACAGTAGTTTTGTTAATTCAGAACCGCTTCATGTTTCAAATAAAATTACTAGTTTTTTCAAAATTACTTTTTACTGTTTGTCATTAATTGGAATAACAGTAATGTTTAGATTGGGGTGATTGAAGTGGTTCCTAGCTAGCTATCACTTTTATTTTATTTACTAGTACATTAATGCATTGCACTTGTTAATAATATTTACATTTTTGAAGTGTAAAAATAGATTTTTAGATTGCTTGCTATTTTGTAGTAGTTATTTTTTGTTTTGAATTAATTTTAAAAAATGTCACAAATTTAAGACATGATTTTTTGTTGGTAAACTAGAAATTTACTCCACTCCTTTTTGTTTTTGACTAGTTCCTTCGCCCCTAGCCACGATCTTCCTTTTTCTTGTGAATCTCGATCAATCTCAATTTTTTTAGATTCTCTCACCTTTTTTACTGGTCTATTGTTATCTGTTATTCTAAATATGTAGCCAATCTGTTTAAATGTTCTCTTCTATTTTTGTTTTTAACGATCGTATCCCCCGTTCTTCTGTACTCTCTATTCTCAGTATTCAATATTTTCCTTAGATACCTAATGTCAATAACCTATAGAAGTTTTTCTTATCTTCCGTTTCATAATGTAACGTTTACCAACAAATTATTTGTCAAATTTGTAACATTGTAATTTTACTATGTAATTTGACACAATATTGGTGTTAACATAATGATTTATAACATAGTTATAATTAATGTAGACTAATGTTCTTTAATCACTGTATTTTTCTTGTACTACTGCTAAATAAATTGCTTTTTAACTAATGTAGATGTGTGTTTCTTGTACTACAAAATAAATATTGCTTTTTTTATTTCTGTACTCTAGAGGTGGCTGGTATTTATAAATTTATTAAAATAGCACTTATCTGACTAATCTCCTTTAACCAAACTATATTTACTTTATCAACAGGTCTAAATGGTGCGATCACAAAACCAACGCTGTATAGTATAATTTGTGTCGCTGTCGCCATCTTCATAGTGTTCGTCTGTTTCCTAATAGCCTACCGCAGAAAATCGACAGAAAGTAACAGAGTGCTCAAGAATATGCAAGAACAAATGGATATATTGGAGCTGCGAGTAGCCGCTGAGTGCAAAGAAGCTTTTGCCGAGTTACAAACAGAAATGACAGATTTGACAGGCGATTTAACCTCAGGTGGGATACCTTTCCTGGATTACAGGACTTATGCTATGAAGATTTTGTTCCCTAACGTAGACGACCATATAGTTCTGCAATGGGAAAGACCAGAATTATTGTGCAAGGAAAAAGGATTGAGACTTTTTGGACAGTTAATAATGAACAAAACATTTTTGCTACTTTTCATAAGAACATTGGAAAGCAACAGATACTTCTCGATGAGAGACAGAGTCAATGTTGCTAGCCTAATAATGGTTACCTTACAAAGCAAAATGGAGTACTGTACAGATATTCTTAAAACTCTCTTGGCGGAACTTATAGAAAAATGCATGGAAGGCAAGAGTCATCCTAAGTTGCTACTTCGTAGAACCGAGAGTGTCGCTGAGAAAATGCTCAGTGCTTGGTTTACATTCCTTCTTTACAAATTTTTGAGAGAATGTGCGGGAGAGCCTCTGTTTATGCTATTTAGGGCTGTGAAACAGCAGGTTGACAAAGGACCAGTAGATGCTATCACTTCAGAAGCACGATATTCTCTCAGCGAGGAAAAACTTATAAGACAATCAATAGATTTTAAGCCAATGGTAAGTTTTCGATATTTTTTTTGTAGTTAAAATAAAGTTATAGGTATATAAATATCAGAAAACATATATAAGACATTTCATTAGGCTCACATTGAAATCCATTTTGTGTTTCTCCAAACTTGCTTCTCTTCTTCATGGGACTCTTACCCATTTGAGTTCAAAGTTGTATTGTTATAGATTCTTTTATTTGTTATTCTCCGCATTTTGCCAATTCAACTTTAGCATATACTTGGTCATCAGAAAATATCTTTTAATTTTTTTGTTTTATCCATTTTTATTTTCATTCTTGATTTATTGACATCGTTATTATCCGCTTAATAGTCGATTGCCTTCTCGCTAAAAACCTCGTTCATCTTTGTTCTACAGATATTTCAATAATATCTGCTCTTCTGAATTTTTTTCCATTATCCTGTCACTGGCCACTGACTCTTACCTTTGAACATCTAAAAGTGATATACTAGGTTTTGGTACCCCTTAAATTTTATACAGTGTGTCTCCATTGTGTCGAAACCATATGGGAAACTTTTATTATTAATTTTATGCAAAAAAGTTAATCTACATAAAAAGGTCTGCATTGTCAAAAATCTGAATTTGACCTTTGTTGTAAAATATTAGTTATGTATGGATTAACACTATCGAAATAATTTTTTGTATTTTATAAATTCTATCTAGTGTTTTGACGTTTACTGTCAAAAATTTTAATGCATCCTATATATCAAATGGTTGGATTTAAAGTTTTAAACCATGCAGAACTTTTTATGAATAATGTTCTTCATAAATCTAATAATAAAAAAAATTCCCAAATGGTGCGGACCTAAGTAAACACACTGTATAAACATAATAACTGGGTTTTACCTTCATGAAATCAATCCTTAAAAAAAGCTTTTACTGTATTAATTTATAGATAATAGACGCACTAGCAAATTTTATAAAAAAAAAAATAGAAAATCAGTTCATTCTTGAAAATTTTCATGTAGACATACAATAGGAGCATTGCCTATAAATTTTTATAGATTAGGAAGCTGTTATTCCATAAGATAATTAAAATATTTTCGACTTTTATGTAAATTAAATGTTGTTACTTTTTTTTAGACGGTTTATGTCTCCATATCTCAACAAACGGTATTTGTTGGAGGCATGGATCATAACACAGACAATGTTCCTGTAAAAGTATTAGATTGTGATACAATTAGTCAGGTTAAAGAGAAATCACTGGACACTATTTACAGAGCAACACCTTATTCACAGAGACCAAGAAAAGACGACTTAGATCTAGGTAATAATTTTCATATACTATGTCTTGCAATAGAAAAACAACAATTGTCTATACAAAAAAATTTACTATGTCAAAACTTATTTAACATTGAAGAATCGTTTATAGATATTTTACAGAAAACAACTTATTAATAATAATTACATTCCCACATTTTTAAACTGAAATTAGGAACATTTTATTCATATATTATTGTTTAAAATGGATCTATATGGGCTCTTTCCAATTACTTCATTAGAAAAATAATATCCAATAAAATATTTAGAAAAACGTAGATTTGACGTGTACAGTCTTTATTATTTCTTGCAGATTTTTTATATTCTTGCATACACACATTTCATTTTAAGGAAAAAGAATAAAAAGTAAAATAAAACGTTTTAATTCAGCTAAGAGCTAAGCTACGCTTGTAATATGATGTTATTGTTCTGCAACTTCATTTATATAATTTTTAGTATTAAGATAAGGAATGTAACCATAATAAATACACTTTTTGTTATGACTGTAGGGCGCCTTGCAGATGTAATAGCAAATGTTAATATTCTCTTATTCGCTTGGGTCGGTCATTTTATAGAACTATAAAAAATCAATGTCGTGTGTACTTTTGAAAGCAAATTTCCAAACTTCTATAACTAGCATTTCTTGGGTTTCAAAAATTTCTTTGAAATCCACTTGTTAGCTTTAAAAATAAACATCTTTTCCTAGTAAATCATTAAAAAAATAAATTAGTGGGCATCATGGCCCAGAACGTGTTTTTATGACGACCTTATCAAAGATATAATAAATAAATAACATCTACAAGTGAAAAATAATATTGAATGAATATAAAAGCATTTTGTTCGTGTACAAGTATAAATAGGTTGTTTTTCTGTTGCTCTAATGTACTTGATTTGTTTTTTTTTGTAATTACCTTTATTAATGACCGTTTTCTTTACAGAATGGAGAACAGGTACTTCTGGAAGACTGATTTTATATGATGAAGATAGTACTACTAAAGTAGAAGGAGATTGGAAGAGAAGAAACACATTGCAACATTACAGAGTACCTGATGGCGGATGTCTAAATTTAGTGTCCAAACAAAGTTCTATTTATAATTTAAGTATTTTCTCCGAGAAAAACGATAAATCTCACAAATACGAAACGCTGAACCTCAGTAAATTTAGTTCTGTAAGTCCCCCACTAAGTCGAGCCACTAGTCCATTGAACCACGATCATGACCAAGGACTGAAAGCTTGGCATCTTGTAAAGCATCACGATAACGATAATCAAAAAGAAGGCGAGAGAGGCAATAAGATGGTTTCCGAAATTTACCTAACTAGGCTTTTAGCTACCAAAGGTACTTTACAGAAATTCGTAGACGATCTGTTCGAAACTATCTTTAGCACGGCTCATAGGGGATCTGCGTTACCACTCGCCATAAAGTATATGTTCGATTTTCTGGATGACCAAGCTTTACAACACGGAATATCAGATCCTGAAGTAGTACATACATGGAAGAGTAACTCCTTGCCTCTTCGGTTCTGGGTGAATCTTATTAAGAATCCCAATTTCGTATTCGATATACACAAGTCGAATATAGTAGATTCATGTTTATCTGTTGTTGCTCAAACGTTTATGGATTCCTGTTCAACTTCTGATCATAGATTAGGTAAGTATCTCTATTCTTAAATACGTTTAATAAATACTCAATAAATTGTGGACCCCCTTCTTCAATAAGGTACTAAGTATATTAAGTTTTGATAAAAATCAGGAGTAAAGCTTTATCAATAAAACATTTTATCTTTTTTTTGCAATTTATATTCAAAACAAACGGAACGTAACATATTTCTTTCAAAATATATTATTAAAGTGAACGATTTACATAAAAAAAAACAAATGATTCTTTTTTGCAAAACTACTAACTGTCTAGGGTCTACAATGTTTACAATACTTAAAAATATGAACATGGTTTGGAATTTTTTCTTTCTCTTTAATCTTTTTCTTCTCTTGTAACATATTACATCTTTAATAATACTATTTCTCCTTAAAATTCGTCCACATAAACTTATGAGCGCGGCTTTGTTGGATATTAATACGCCACTGCATACAAGACAATGGGACCTGATGGTATAATCCCGGCACTTCTACAAAAGGGCCAGGAACACCTGGAGGGACAACTAAGTAAACTTCCGAGCTAGCATAGTTCTTAATATATTCCTAAAAGTTGGAGATTTGTTCCCAAACTTGCGAAAACATCTTAGAGGAGAACAAATCTTTTAGACCAGTCACCCTAACATCATTGCTCCTAAAAACCTTGGATAAATTTCGATATAGGTAAATAAAGGATAAAACGGTACATCGATGCTCACCAATCTAGAAAGTCTTGTGATGGCTATCTCAAAAGCCCTAACAAACATTGAGGTGTTAACAAAAATATTATTCCCTGCTATTTAAGATTAAAATCGCAATCTCCTCAGCATATTTATTATACAAAACTTGAAAATCTGACTGCAGGTTCAGAAGCTACATAAACAACAGAGATTTGTTGTTTAAAAATTGTTTTATCACTTTTAGGGAAGGATTCACCCAGTTCGAAATTACTGTATGCAAAGGACATTCCATGTTATAAGGAGTGGGTAGAGAGATATTATTCTGATATTAAAATGATGCCTGCCATATCGGATCAAGATATGAATGCAATGTTAGCAGAAGATTCTAGGGTAAGTAAACATAATAATTGGTATGTGTATAAGTGTGGAGAATTTGGAATCAGGACAAATTCACAGTCAAGGATAATTTTTAGTATATAGTCTGACACTGAAAACTTCCATCAATTTATTAATAAATACAAAACGGCATATCTAGACCCAGAGTTCATGACTTTGTGGGTCTTACAAATAACAAATTTAACAATGTCACTGAAGAAGAATAGTTATAATACTAAAAGTACTGCACAAAATTAATACAAATACAGAAAATTTATATCTAATATCACACTATTATTTAAAACTGAAAATGTTAACTAAGTAGAGTCAGTTAAGAACGTTTTAATTTTTTTTTATGTTCTTTATGAAGCTTGATAGACAATTGTACTGTCTTAGACCATTCGATAGAGAGTTAGCATTATCGCGAGTAGGAAACGAATAATATCAGCGATGCCAGTTTATACGACCCGACCTTGTTGTAACGTTGGCAACGCTAATATAATTCGTTTCCTTATCACACTAATCTAACTGTAGTTTTCATATTCACTTCTGCAAAGCATATTGGAAAGCATTAGCAGTTGACTACGTTTTTTACCTCCATTTTCCATAATAAAAATAGAACTCCACAAGACTGACTGACAAAGATTCATAAATTATAAATTTGAAGTTACATTTTTAGTGTCATTAGTTCAAAAAACAGTGTATTTGGCATACTCAATTACCAACTTACAAAATAATAATTGTACCATTTTACAACAAGTACTTTGAATATGGTCAGTTAAAAATTAAACTTCTGTTGTCTAAACTGAGTTTACAGCATTCCCTGTACATCCCTCTTAACGTATTTTTGATGTGATGCTAAAAATTGAACCAATTAGCTAAATATAGGTGTCTTTAATTTTATAGAAGTAATACACTTTAAATAAATTAAATCTGTTTTTACAAACATGGATTTATATCGAAAAACAACAAGGGGACAGAGAAGTGATTGACAGATGTCTGTTTTGTAAAAATGTATCCCATTTGGAATAAAAATCGACTTGTTTTAGTATTTTCTTAAAATCTAATGAATACTGTCAAATAACAGAGTGGCCTGTTCTGAGTGGCCCACTCTGAATAGTTGATTGCTTGGTTTAGGCAGCTCACCCTATATTCGAAAAAGTTACTGAACACATGGCTATATAGCTTTATAATACTTCCAAATACAGCTGTTAATAGTGAACTTTACTATCTTTTTTCATAGTAGTCAGTTGTTTGGAAACACTGTCTAGCAAAAATTGGGTTGTTTTAATGTGCGAGATTTTTTTGTTAAATAACAATGAGTTACAAATGTTCAATAATCGCTTTATTATTTTCTTTTAGCTCCATACAACGGAATTTAACACAAATTGCGCTCTTCACGAGCTATACACGTACGCCATGAAATACAACGAGCAACTAACAGTTACCTTAGAGGAGGATGAATTCTCGCAGAAACAACGATTGGCCTATAAGTTGGAGCAGGTACACAACATAATGGCTGAGTCGGGACAGCCGTGATACTGGCCTGACCTGACGTGCCCCCCTACTGACTCTCCTCTCTCTCCTGTATTCCCGACGGCACCTCAGGAACTTGCCTGCTGATAAACGTTTCATGCCAAATATACATATCCATCATCAAATAAAACTATTTCTGTATGTGTTACGAATTGCTGTTGTGCAATTATTGTTCAGTGTATTGTGGACCGGTGCTCACTCAGTGACTTCAAAGTGCCTCTGGTAGATTGAGTGCGGTGCTGGCTCCTTAAATGAGTGTATTATATTTTTATGATAACACTAGATTTATGCTTTGCCGTGCTGAACGTCAGCGTTATAGTCTAGGCCCGTTTTTCAGAAAAAGCCTTCCCCAATCAGGTAAGCCACATCTTATATCACTCTTTGCTAATATATTTTCTGGGTGATTTGATGACACATGAATAGAGTTTCGTGAATAATAATTGTTGGATAATGCCAATTCGATAATGACCAAAGTTGCGAAATTTAAAATACATGGCCATAGGAATTACATTTTTATTATTAACATTTTGGCTGTTTTTTAATTTTTATGTGGCTATATTTTTGATTGGGTATTTTTATTTTCTAAACATCAAATTATCCAAAAAATTATTATCAAAGTATTATAAAGAATGTTTCACAAATGGTTTGGAATAGTTTAAGAATATACATAATAGAAAAAATTACTACTAGAAGTTCACATATATTTTTATCATAGGGTGTTTATTTTTTAAGTTATTTGCCTTTAATTATTTGATTATAATAAAATTTTACTTTCCTCTCAAAGGTAATGTGTAGATTATTTTTTTTAAACAATGCTTTATAATGTATCTCATAAATAATGGCTTTTATATTGTCACTTCCTTATATAAATAAGTTTTTCATCGCAATAAATATTGACGGCAATGAAATGATAACATAATTTGGTAGTGCACAAAAGGAATGTGGTTATTTTTAAATTTTAAGTATTCCATAAAATTGATTAAAAGTTTCATAAAAAAATAAGAAAGTAACACAGAAATGTGTATTTTAGATTGATTGGTGTCAAAATTTTAAAAATTAATTAAAGGCGATTAACTTCAAAGATTTTTAGTGTAATTTTTTTAATTCTGCATATCTTTCAAAAAATCCTGCCCATTTGTGATATAGACTAGATGTGATGGATGGGGCTTACATGAAATTTTTCAAATATTGGTCCTAGGCTATTAGTCCATATTATTGTCGATATTCACTGAAATATCCACTCTAACAATGCTTTTTTGATATTTGTAATATGATCGCAACTTTATACAGTTTAATATTTTTGTATTTAGTTGAATACAATCATGATGATTGTCTTCCGCAATGAAGGAAGCACCAGGGTGTAGTATTTAATTGCGACCTTTCAATCAATGGATGTTTCAAATCTATACATTACATACTATGCACAAGGTCGTATCAATGTTGTTTGTGTATGTGTAATAAGGCTGTGTACATTTTCTTGTTTGTAATAAAAACCAGTATCTTCAGTTGCCACACTTAGAATTTTTCATGGACTACTGCCCTCTAATGTCTATCTGTTCCTCTTTAAGGCTGGCAGAATTACATTTTACATTATATTTATATGAAAATTAAAAAAAATATATTTGGTGAATAAAAAACTGTTGATATAAATTTTGTAAATAAAATTTGCTAGACAGTCAAATAATAGGATAGTAAAAGAATAGGGTATTATAAATTGGAAGTATTATTTTGATTTTCATTCAAAAAAAAAAAAAAAAAAAATCAGCTATACTGGGTTGAAAGTCGGTCAACAAATAATAATCGCAAAATATATTTTACTTGATATTATTATTTGGAAGGATTCTACTACTATATACTGTCAATTAAGTACTCTTTGGAAACAAGTAAAAAACATTTTACTTCTTGGAAAATATATAATAAACATACAAATATTTATTTTTTGATTGTAACCCATAAAAGTGACAAAATATTTCATTATGAGTAATCTGAAATATATAAAATTTGAAGGTGATATCTCTATGAAAAATTTAATAAAAAATGTATTTTCCTTACTGACTTCAATTCCATGTACACAGTAAAAAGATATTGATCTTCTAACACGTTTTGTGAGAGATTAAATTGCATTTTATGACATTTTTATGGCAGCAACATTTACATTTTAAACTGTAGCAACTATACATTATATATATTTTTTTTCATTTGATTAAAAATATGGTTAAATATTTTAAATACAGGGTGTTGCACATATACATTATTTTATACACGTTTAGCTTTTTCTTTATTTCTTACCAGTTTTTATTTATATTATGTATATTAAATTTTATTTAATTAATTTCTAGTCTTAAATTTTTTGAGTAATTCTACCAGCCAACATGTTTGCCTTCATGTTCAAATATTTTATTACCTTTTGTTATGTGCAATTTTAAGTCATAATTATGATTAGGTTTACTTTATATTTATAAAACGCTGAATGTTCCACTGCTTCTTCAAGTATGTCATTCCCAAGTGTGCATTTAAAGCTATTTTCTTATTTATAAATAAAATACTCATTATTGGTAATTGAATCAAAACAAAAAATACTCGAATGACTCTTCTGGGTTAAAATAACATTAGTACCAGTTGAATTAAAAAAAAATGTGGATACGCTTTTAGGAAAAATGTTTGTTTTGTTGTAGATGCGATCAAAAAGCAAACCTCGTGTTTTAAGTATAATTTCAAAACTGCTTTTATTGTATATTTATTATTTTAACGATAAGTCCTTAAAAGTTTGTTATGTAAATTTTTTGTTCCTTAAAAGAATTCATACATACTGGGGATGCTGTATTTTTCATATTAACTATCGATAAGATTTTTAAAATAACTGATGCATTCCGTGTTAGTGAGAAAATATTTACTCAATAAGTGAAACATTCAGTTAAAGTACGGGGTTTTTTGATCCCAGTTCCTTCTTCTCTTTCAAACAGTTAAATAATTTAAATTAGTACTTCCTTTTTAATATCGATTTTTTCCTTTAGAGTACAATATTTGATAAAAAATCATTTGGTTGTAATTAATCTCATCCCTAAGTTCTTATTCATAAAATATACACAGGGTGTTCAGAACTTACGTGTACCTGGAGCTACTACAGATTTATGGGCTCAAACTTGCCTATATACCAATTTGCTTCGTTAGGCCGCTAGAAGTCATCAAAGATAAATAGAAATATCTACTTTTTCTGTAATTTCCAGGATCCAGCCATTTTAAGAGATCAAACATGGTAAAAATACTAGGTGTTTTATGGCCAATTAAAAGCAGCAGCAATAATTTTTCTATTGCGATCATAAGATTCTCATTTGGGGTAAGATCAACAGACATTTTTTTGTCACTTGTTTTCATTTCTGGTATTACAGTAGGAAACTATTAGTTTTAAATCAAAAAATTACTCTTTTTTGATGTCGTTATGACATCCCCAACTATGAAAGATGGTATCTATAAAATAAAGATTTGGTGCCTTCGACACCTAAAGGAAACTTGAGATTAAAAATAGTGTTTGAAAGAGATGACAGGATAATTTTATAAACTTCATACTACTAATTTTAACATGTTTATTTTAAATATTTTGAAGATATTATTTTGATAACTTTTTTTGTGAGTGGATTCAATGTTTAAATGTTTTTAAAGATATTTTATCTCTCCCTCATTCCTATGTCGTTTGAAGCGCGTATATAATTCGGGCCGTCATTTTTATTTTGGTTTTTACTTTTCATGTGCGCACCATGTGTGAAATGTATTATGAAGGAGTTGTAATCACTATCTCGGGAAAAAGTACTCAGAACAAAAGTTATTTGATTATTGCGATTTTTCTTGAGACAGTGAAAATAAATACGCAATGGGAACAATAACGTTTAATTATTAATTATTTTTATCTTTTTATCGGAAGGAAGAAGCAAAACTAAATGATCCTCTGCTTAAGATGTCATAATTATCATAAATTGATGTGATATTGATTGATTGGAATCATTTAGATAGACATAATCGTTAGTAATGTGTAACTGATATTGTTATATTTTTTAAATGTAATTTTATATTCAATGTAAATGTCATGTTAGTTTTCCTTTTTCCTTCTCAAACCTTTGTGTTTTTTCAATTGACTTTTTAATGAAATGGTCAAATGCCACCGTCCTGAAAATTGGAACAATGTATCTCAACTTAGCTTTTTGACAGCTGCGCATAACAAGTCCAGTTTTAAAACAGTTTTTTGTATTTTTGTTTTATAAGTCACAAGATGTCACTATTAATTTGTAATTATTTAAGTTATGTATATAAAATTTTATGCCAAAAATGCTTCTGGACAATTGCATAGGAAGATTTGTAAATATTAAATGGGTGTACGTATGTCCGTACAGATGAATGCATTAATGTTTGTATGTTTGTACGCATGATACATATTTATAGTAATGTGTGTACATTCGATTATGAATGGTAATGTACTACTCTATGTTATTATAAAAGACTGAACGGAGTTACTAAAATAAATAGAAAACACATCTACAGTTGTTTTATTTTGAACCTGTTCATTGAATAAAGAACTATAGTAGTAGAACCAAAGATTCTCCTTATAGTCGGGTCAAATTAGCATGAAAAAGTGGAAATGGACAACTTTTTGCGGTGAGGAACGATTGAGATTCGGTTTTCTGCAAAATGTTCAGGAAACCATCTATAATAAAAGATACGCTCGCAAATTCTTGTTTACTTAACAAATTAGGCATTTTTGTTACGAGTGTTGATGAATGTGGTAAATGTCACACGGTTCAATGAAAATGTCTGGAAAATCTTCTCTCTTTTTGAAGCCCCTCTTTGGTGTCAGATTTATTATTTATTGCTAAATTGTTGTAACTTGGCTAATTAACAAATGAAAAACTCAACCCCCTCCCCAAAATCACTAGATAATCTGAATGTTTTCCAGCATTTCTGGCTTATTAAGGCGAACCATCGGCACAAGATTTTTGCAAACAATTGTTGCCACCTCGCTAATTAACAAATTATTAACTCGACTCCCGGAATCGTTAGAAAACCGGAATTTTTTACGATATCTCTGGTTTCTTGAGGCGAACCATTGGCACAAGATTTTTGCAAATATAATTGTTTATTTTTCATTTGTTGCAAGAATCAGAATTTTTTCCAATAAGCCTGGGTTACTGAGGTGAACCATCTGCATAAGGTTCTTGCAAATATAGTTTTTTATTGTTATTGTAACCTGGCTAATTAACAAATGAATAATTCTCGACTGACAAACAAGTTTTTCAAAAAATTGCTCATACCCGTGTATTTGTAGAGAGAAGTGTTTAGAGAATAGTCCGAATCTGTACAAGTAGTTTAAAATCATATTTGTATGTCCTTGGTGACTCAGAACATTGCGGTTCTCATCATGGGTACATGTTATGCACTGTCGATTTTTATGCAAGCAATCCAATGACGATGCGGATACATTAATAGTATCTAAAGGACACATATGTTTCAGTGATATTGGTGGCATTAACAACCGATGACAATGAGATATTTTACATCAAAGCAGAGCTGGGTAACTAAATTAGAGTGCTCTTTCCCGCTTATGCCTATCTTGAGTGGTTAATAACCATGGAGGAAGGATAATTACTTAATAATAACCATTCAAATTTTAAAACTTTGTAGTTGATAGGCAACACGGAATACACTGACGTGTAATGATGTTTGCATATGTTTACACAAGCCATCTAAATTTTTGTTTGTTCCACAGAAAGGGTTACTGAAGTTATATATGAACAATGAAACCATAATTAAATTGATATATTAAAAACTTTATTATAATAAACGCCTAATTCACAAACTATATCTAACCATATCTGTTAGTTACTATCGAATAGCTATCCAAGTAGGCATTTCAAACAAAATGGTTGGCTGTGGGCCTGGTAATCTGACAGGATTAATGATATAGAAACTTAAATAGATTGATTCATATTTCTCAAAACCTTGAAGTAAAAATGTAATTGTATCAATGCCCATATCAAAGACAATATGAAAACAGGGTTGCCATATCATAACTTGTCATAATAAGTATTTTGACAGGTTGTTGGAATGCCTAATAGAGTTGGGCGATATTTAACGAATTGTGATTTATTCACTGATATTTAACGTAATAGTAATGATTCACATAGTGATTTAAAACTCACGATATCGACCAACTCTAGTCTAAGAATTTACAGGTTCGTAAATGCTTAAAGATGTTTTGTGAATTATGCAATTAGTAAATTAACAATATTGTCAGAATTATACAAATCTGACTAGAATCACTGAGCGGGTACTGACTAGCAAGAATTCACAAATATTGATAATAGACAGATAATATCGTCGCTGGAAAGACAAAAAGGCACACCTCCAATTTAGCTATTTTACAAGCAATTAATCTTTTGTTGTATAGTGCATTGCATATTCGAGCATTTAGTTTGCCATATTAAACTATAAGGAGATATACGCCTCTTTGTCATATCATAGATATCCACTTTATTGGGCATATTTCGACTTACGCCCCTTTGCCTTTCCATCGACGATATGTTAAAGAATCTTATATCACAAATAAGTTCTAATTAAGAACGTAAAATTTTAGCCTAAAACATTAGACCATGATTACATTATAAAATGTTTGAAATGGTTTATTAATAAAACATGTTTTTAAACTTGAAGCAAAGGCATATTTTTAAATTAAATAGGGAGGGGAAAGGAATTATCCCGAATTTCTCTAGCGCATTGTGAAAACAGTAATTGTTGCAGGCGGGTGGAAATGGACCCAAACGACACAGTTGTCTGAAAAGTTTCAGCTAGTACGTATCTCAAATGTAAAAATAATGTAGTTGAAGGTGCAACCTTTTGCCAAAATAGACCGACTGTCGAGGTACAGTGTACTCGTTACCAAATCCTTCCTCAAAATTCAGTTCGCGATCGGAAATTGATATTGTTGTCTAACCTAACAACTTAATTTCGAGTAGAAATTTGGTAACGAATACAAATCGCAAGCTGTACCTCGAAAATCGATCTATTTTGGAATAAGTACTATTCGACAAAGGCGATTTCTCCTTCTTCTACATTATTTTTGGGACTGAGATACAACTGGCTGAAACTTTCCGAATAACTAAGTCGTTTGGGTCCATACTCAATAGCCTACGACATTTACTCTTTTCACAATGGGCTGGTGAAATTCAGGATAATTTACCCATCCTGTATATATAAAATAAAAATTTTTGTCAACAGGTACATAATATCTTATTAAAATATATATAATAAAAATAAGTACACAAACGTTTTAAATTTAAACAATAAATTTTAACTTTTTTATGACTAGGATACAATAACCATAATCATGAACAAGTAAATAAACTTAACAACAATCCATTTTCTCACTCTGTTAAAATGTTCGTCGTTGATACTGCAATTTAGGTCAACAACTTTGCAATTTCCAACTAGGTATCAATAGCAATCCGATTGCAGTATCAAGATGATACAATAGTTACAATTGTTAAAGATATTTATCAATAATTTTCTATAAATTAAGTACATATTTTCATGTTTTTAACTAAATAGAAAAACTAAAATATTTCTTCCAGAACAGGATACAAGACTATTCATTTAATCCCATGGGAAATATTATTAATTTTTGTGGTATGTTCCTGGCATTATTTGTATACTAAACATACTTGCTAATTTTACGTAAAAGTTATTATTAAGTTTCTTGGAAATGAGTATATTATAATACTGTGCAGGGATGATAGACTTCATGTATCCTATTTGGGATAAACCAGTAAACATGAAAAATAGGTGAGATTTCAACAATTTAAGTACTTTATATAAAACAATGGCACCAAATAAAATTATCACAATTATTTTGGCTTAACAAAACAAACGAATTAAAACATCAAAAACAATAATTGCTTTTTTTAAATTAAAATTGATTAGAGAGCAAATCAAATTTGAGACAATCACTTAATGAGTAAAAATATAATTTCAAATATTTAAACAGCTGATTTCATTTCTTGCTTTATGCAGGACTTAAAGGCTTCCCAACCTTCATTTTTAGCGTACGACTGAAAATTACAAATATAAATATCAAATATAGATTATCACAGTAAACAAATTTCTGTTGTTAATACAAAATTTCATTTTCTCGACTATCGTTAAGAAATGAAGTACTGAAAGGTGTCGATAACGTGTAACGTACTAGTTGACGGCGTCAATCATATGAATCATAGAACAGTTTAAAAACATAAATCAAAAGACAACAGTGAGGTCCACAATTGTACCAGCGACAATTGGGGTATTTTTCGCAGTTGGAGAAGATGGGCCATTTGGGTCAGTGCTGGATTCACTGGCATTATATCACAGCAAATGGATCGTCGAAATTGAACACCTTGGCAGGTAGATCGAAATTCGCGAGATACAACGATCATGACATTTTATCCATATGACTGGTCCTACGCTGGTCCTGGTCGAGATTTGTGGACCGTTTCCAATGTTTGGAAGGTATTCAAGACCTACACAGTTACCCCTCAACAGATCGCTTGAGAAATTGTCCCGGAGTCAGTTCCAAAAAATCACCATTTTGACCTCTAAATAACCTTGAAATCTGGTTTTTCTGACGTGATGGGGCAAAACTGACCCCGGGATTGGATTCAGGACGCCAAAATACCTAGGAATACCATGGTCTGGCCAAATAGTCCGGACTTTTTTTTTGTAAACCTGTGAAATTAATTGATTTGGACTGTTTTAGCAAAAATTGCTAAGATATCAAATCAGGCAAACCAAGAGGTTCAGGACAACGTCCCTGACTCGATTTCTCAAAGTTTGTTTTAAAATACCTTTGAAGAACTTACCGGTATGACAAATAAATCACCACTATATAGGAAGAAGACTGATATATATGATGTGCAATAATATACTTAGCACCCCCACCAAGTAAAGTGGCTATAGCAGGGACAGAAATTGGAAAGGCTTTTCGGAGCTCTCCCACGTCATAGACAGAAATTGACAGTTTCGTCGCGGAACTAACCGAAGTGGACACGATACATTGGCGTACATAATTATTTTATAGACGTTAATAAAAATTTTGGATAAACAGTTCAATAAATTGTAAATGATGTGCCATCCCAGATAGAATACTTCAAAAAGTATATAGTGTTTAAATAAAAAATCTTGTTATAAAGTCACATTGTCCACAGATGTGGACATTCAATCATTTGGGTGGGGACAGAAATTTTTGATTTTCTTTTAAAAAAAAAATAGATTATTTTGTTTGCCAAAGATTAGAATTTTAAAATAAAAAATGTAGATAGGTGACTGAAAGTGTTAAGGGAGATGCGCGAAAGCCCTGAATAACAAATTTTATTATTAGCTTTAAAATAATAAAAAAAATTGAAAAACTCAAATAAGCCACTTCTTTATTCCAAAAAGGGGCGCCGTAGAAAAGAGTTTAGGAACCACTGCTTTACAGTAACACTCAAGTAGTGACAAAGGCTGATTTTTAAAGAAAACTAAACTGCTGTATTGAAATAAGTAAACTTTGTTATCGGTTTTCTATATATAAAGAAATTGAGAACGATTTGCTGTTTATTTCTGATACTTACTTTAAAACCTCTATGTAGACGATCTTTCATGATAGCAATAAATTCTCTGTAGCTCAATAAACCGTCGCCATCGTCATCAAAAATTGCAAACACTGTATGTACCAAATGGAGGCTTAAGTTGGTACCAGTACATATTTTAACAGCTCTGTGAAACTCATCTGGAAACAGAAAATTATTTTTATACATAATTGGTACATTTAAAATAAATATATTTTAAGAATTTGTTTTCTATTGTCTCTACTTCTTACAAAATGGTTTGATATTATTATTGACAAATTCATATGAGAAAATAGATGGACTCCGGTTAGTGCACCACGACATTCAATGACGGGTAACGGCCTGACAAACATTGTTTTATAACAAAATTTCTTTAGAAAAATAATCAATTTGACTTTTTCAAAAATTAACTCAAAATTTATTTTATTACAATCTATACATTTAAAGATCATACAATTCCTATGCCTGCCTTCTTACTAGGTAGGTATAAATTAAAGAACACATTTTATCTCAGAACAGCAGAGTATTCAAAAAGATTATTTAATTTAAAGTGTCACTAATCTCTAGTATGCATCCATTTCTGTTTTGACTGTCTCACTTATAACCATGAGGTTGAGAGGCTATACCTTTACACAGAAATACAGACAACACTTACATATATTCAAATGAGAAAAAATACATTAATTTCTATAAATAATAAACAATTATATAACTTACCCTTTGAAATGGGATGATCTGCCAATGTATACATTCTCATAGCAATAGTAAAATCTTCCAAATTATTTAGAAATTGGCAGAAAACATGAAATTCTTCAAAGGTAATTCCTTTGGTTTCTTTAATTCGATCCAATAATCTATCAAGATACATATCATAGGCATCTGTATCCAAGTAAGTGTATCTTAAAAGAATTTTAGCAAAATCCACTTCTGAAATTGTAGGAAGGCCCTTCGAGAATTCATTGAATTCTAGTTCTAGTACTTCTGTTTGTAAATGCAACATGAATTTTCTAAAACTTTCAAAGTTAAGATCATTATTGCCCTTGGGACCAAAGAAATGCACTATAAGGGTTGTATCAACAATGTGTTTTCTTTGAAGGCCCTGTTCATCATCAACATACTGCTCTTCTATGGAATTTCTATCATCCACTATGTCATTATTCATGCCTCTTTTGCCTTTCCAAGCATGGCTAAATATTTTCTCCATCTAAATTGTACAAATAATTGTTAACGATCTTATTATTGGATTAATAGCCAAACATTAAATTAATTATATTTGCCATTGCCTTTCAGTGTTAACTACATTCCAGGAAGCCACATAAAACTGGCATTATAAGAACAAATTTCACTTTTAAATGGAATAAAAATGGGGCAGAAGTCAATAAAAAAGCATTTTCAATTTATTTATATTTCCTAAATATATGCAACTGCAATTAAAATTTGTATTTTCGTTTTTTTATAAAACCAAACAAACTCTCTGATAAGTCATGCATCAATTTTTATCAATAGATAAATGTGGGATTAAATAATGTTAATAAAAATAACAAACAAAGGCATTAAGCATATTGAAGATAATAATTTCCACCTCAAAATTATTCAAAAATTTCATCACGATACAAATAAGTTATTTTTAGACAATCTGATTGTTGACATAAAAGCAATTTTTTTTCTGCATAAAACACATAAATCTCTAAGCCATTTTTTTGTTTCTTTTTTTGTGTAGCCTGAACTTACTTCATCATCTTCTTTTTTTTTGCCTGCCAATAGTTTTCTTACCTGCTCAGGTAATTTAATGATTATCAGAGAATCACTTGAAGATAACTTTTCAACAAAAAGTAATCAATTTTGAAAGCAAATAATTTTTCAAGTACATACTGTATTATTTGAAATAAATCACTTTTTGTTGGCTAGTGTATTAAAATTCATACATACCACTAAAAACTCGTTTTTGTCGACTCTTTGATTACCATCAGTATCAAACATATTGAATGCAATTCTAAAACCAGACTGTGGTTCTAAAAAAGATGTATTAGTATCCAAAATATATTTCTACTTAAAACTTACTTGTTAATACTGAAAGAAGAAATAAGTACTCTGTATAAGATATAATCCCTAAAAAAAAAAAAACAGATTTATAAAACTTTATACATTTATATTTTGATAGTTGAAAGGCAGAAGATCATAACGGACAGTTTGATAACTTTACAGTAGGGTGACAATGTTTTTTTTTATTTTCTTAACCTTTGTTCAACCATTTTTCCTAAAAACTATATAGTAGTACAAAGTTATTGTTGCAAGTGAAAGGTCATAACCACCTTAACAGTGATATAAGCATATAAAATGATGAATGAACTATGAGCAATAAGGTAAAACATTATAAACAGGCATATACTAAATATGAGGAATCCTTTAAACATTTCAATCACCATAATTGTGAATGATAGGGATTAATTTAACCACTTTAACTGTCTTATTAGTAATTATAAGCTGATAAGTGAATACATAAAATGTCTCAACCTGTTTATTTTTAATAATTGTACATTTATTTCTTATAATAAATAGGCAGAAATAAGCACATTGAAAAGTAAATCATCACACTGATATTTAACTATATTCCTAAATATGTCAAATGCCAGTCTCATAAAATTATCCATATATTTTGTGGCTCTTAAAACCCAATTTTGTAAAATTTGTCAATTAGGTATGATCTTACCTTTCAACTATCAATATATTTATATATTTTTAATTCAAAAAGATACCTCTATCTCTAAGACTTCTAAACAACCTGGGTGAGCCTTGATTTAAGGGTGGTGTAGCATCTTTCATCTTCTCAAGTTCCTTTTGATTTAAAATTTTTCTTTTTAGCCTGGCTGTAAACACAATGAATTAAATGAAATATAGATAACTTAAAATAACAATTTAGTTTCATATTTGTAGTTTAAAATCAAAGACCATTTTTTTGAGATTTTTAGTTCCTTATTTTCGCATTGTGTATACTTACGTCTTGGCTCTGCCTCAATAACTGACTCAAGAAAATCCTGAGGTGTCATATAGAGCTGACCATCATATTCTACAGAAGCAAATCTGATAAACCTTTTCTCTCTGGACGTCAATTTTACAACTTTTACATCCTCATCCTAAGAAAGACTTAATAAGTTATATTCGATAAATAAACAACCTTTACATACTTTTGATTGAGCCGCATAAACATTCTGAAGAGACTTAATTTTATACGCTATGAGTAATGTTGCAGTTCCGCCTAGGATGTAATAAACGGATGGGTATTGTCTCTGAACTAACCTGCTACTAATTTTACTAAAATATCTAAGTTTTGTACCATTTATTTTCACAAAACAGTTCCGGAACAAGTTAGTTGCGGCCATAATACCTTGCTTATCAGAATGTTATCAATAGGGTATTAAATTTCAAGGATTTACCTTGCTATTAAAATTTTTGGCAACATAACAGAAATTTTTCTATGACAGAAAACATTGAGGTTAGAATTATTCACAGAATCAATGAAATATGTAGATATATAGATTGCTCAAAGTGGGTCGCATTGTGAGCGGCCATATTGTCTCGAAAGTGACCAATAATTAACACAGGGATTCTTATGTGTGAATTCAACACGTTACGTGTTGAATAGAGAGAGATATTACATAAGAATATAATTCTATCGAACAAAGAAAGGCGCCTCAAAGCGTGCCGTATTAATGTCTTCTTTCTGTTGAAAAATGAGAATCCCCCTGCTGAATCGGTTTAGTAAAAATGTGTTTTGAAACCAAATTACAGGCTTTGAATATAGTAAAACAATTATTATGTACATTTTTTTAACGCTTTTTTGAAAAAAAAAAAAAATTGGATTATAAGGGTCGATTCCACCATTATGTTAAACATAAATTATTGCACTGCACTCGCAAAATGCGAGCTGAGTGAGCACTAGAGCAGGTAGTCGAATACGCCATAAAATGAAATTATTAGTTTAAAAATATCATTTTAATCTTCGTTTAGTAATTTAAATTTCGTTTAACACAACGGTGGAATCTGCCCTAATCTATATAATTATTTAGAGCATTGACCCTGTCGAATTCATCAAGACAACAATTTTGTTTGCTAGGGGGGAAATAGAAGTCAGCTTAAGTTCGCAATATGAAAATGTCATTAAAAAACAGGAAGGCTTGGCGACTACTGTTTCGAATAAAAATATGCAAGGCTATTGCCGCGTTTGAGAATCAACATCGGATGCATTTTTTACATCTCGAGCGTTTTTTTATCCACATCGGCATCTGTCCCATTACATTTACGTATACTGAATCACGTGATCAAAGATTTACTACATCTCAGATGCATCCGATGTGGATTCTCAAACGCGGCATATGTCGCAACCTCCTAAGATCACTGAACTTCATTACTCATGCCGCGTTTGAGAATCCACATCGGATGCGTATTTTACATCTCGAGCGTTTTTTATCCACATCGGACACATCTGTCCCATTACATTTACTGAATCACGTGATCAAAGATTTACTACATATCAGATGCACCCGATGTGGATTCTCAAACGTGGCATTAAATTTCACTCTCGAGTGAAAAAACCAGTCAATGCGTATGACAATTTGGACACCAGACTGTCAATTTCAAGTATTTCCATGGGCGTACGACGATAAGTTATATTTTTATTAATAACGTGACATTTTAATTATTATTGGCACATTTGTTTTAGCTACATTTTTATCAAAGATAATTTTTAAGTGATTTTCTTAAATTAAAAGGTATCCAGTTTAATATATAGTTAGTTTATTGCCTATACTATTATACCCCCGCAGCTATTAGGCATTCCAAACAAAATGGTTGCCTGTGGGTCTAATGGATTAGACAGGATCAATGATATATAGATCGCTCAAAACGGGTGACATTGCTTTCAATCTATAGGCGATTCTTTAAAAGCTTGCCAAAACATACTTATATAACCAGAACAATTCTTTGATTACATGTTAACAAACCATATGTAGCTACATCTAACGAGGCATTTATTTATAAGCTTACTAGAACATACTATAATAAAAAATAAAATCAAAACATCCTAAAAATAAAATTCCATTTAGAAATTCCCAAACTTAAAGACATTCAATAATATGGTAGTAAGTTTATAAAGAAATGCCTTGTATCATTAACCCTGTCAAATCCACCAGACCCATAGGGTTGCCATATTAAATGCCCACAGGCAATCATTTTGTTTGGAATGCTTATAAGTCGCCAAAGTAGCGTTCGAGTTGGCCAGTGGCTGGAGCGGACTTTTTTAAGGTGCTTTTAAATGACATTAAGACCGAACGCAATGCAAATTTAGAAAAAATGTAGGTTTTCTTAAATCCGACATTTTTATGGTCGACAAAATGAGCAATTTTTTTAGAAATATTTAAATTTAATCAATTATTCATAATCTCACATGTATATAGAATAAATTGTTAAGAAAATTGGATGCCACCGCCACTGGGGCCGATGTACCACATCGCGCCCGGTGCAGTATTCAACAGAGAATGAGAACATTTGAATTTCGATCAAGCGAAGACAAGCAAGTAGGCGTTAGTGCCCGTTAGACATTCTTTATTTGGTTTCCTAATTAGAATTTAAACATTAAGATATATTTAATAAAACATAAAACTATGTTAACACGTGTTTTGTAAAGTGTCTATACAAGGTGTTATAATATACAGGATGATAAATCATTTAAAAATAATAATTTTGAAGTGAATTCTTTTAATTTCTAACAATATAGTGAAAAATAAATTACTTTCAATTTTGATTTTTTTTTTTTGAAAATGTAATATGAAGACAATTTTCTTAGATCAAGAAGCAGAACAAATAATGGCTCCCTTTTTAAGGCTCCAGCAGCACAAGTTTATTTATCTGAAAGTTTAATATTAATACTATATATTAGGTTAGTTTCTATTTATTATTTTTATATTTGAAGGGATAAGTGGATGAAGGGGTTATGTGACATTTTTAATTCTATTTTTTTGTTGATGAAGAATTAATTAAGTTTATGTGTCTTACTTTGGTCTGGTTTGTGCGTCTAATTAGTTCATAATCACTCTTACCAACTCACAAAAACGCATTTTAAAGACATTTTTCACTAAAAATGCCAATGAATCTAATTAAATAGTTAATTGCTTAAAAATTATTTTTTTATAACATAGCCCCTTCATCCACTTACCCCTTCATTTATTAATGGTACATTATTAAAATCTACTATTTTGGAAGTGTGGACATACACTTGTACCACATTGCACCTAAAATGTAGGTCTGCCTCTGTTTTATATTATTATTTAGGCATTCTAAACAAAAGAACTGTCGATGGGAAGGTTTGCTATGTCCAAAGGGTTGCGATACGATGTATTTTATCTACGCGAACTCATGAATAATGGATTAAATTCAAATATTTTATGTCAAACACCATAAAGATATAAAAAAAACGCTATATATTTTTCATGAATTGGCAGGCGTCGCCCGTGATACCCGTATTACTAACTTTTATAGGTTACCTGAAAACTCAAACATTGATAACAATAAAAGCCATAATTAAATATAGTAACATTTATTTTGTAGTCTGTATCACAGATAATAAACAGGTATAATAAAATAATTTAACAAATAAAATATAAACAGTCTTTAATATCACAGAATCGGTTTCTAAATAGTCCGCTAGTAAGCAGATGAATAATTTAATATTAATTCTAACATTTGTTTAGCTTCCTTCATGGTAAGATAAAGTAGGGAATGAATAATGAATCAAAATTAGCCGATTTTGCAACTTGATACAGGGGCGGCAAAACAGACAAAATAATAAATTAATCGATAGCTAGACGGTCAAAATTATGTAACCGTTGCAAATTTTATATCATTTTCATTTCAATAGCCGAATTTGTAACGATTTTATTACTCCGGCAAAGTAATTAATTGCGGTTAATTAACATTATTTGATCTCATTTAATAACCAAAATATTAACATGCTTGCAATTCTTTCCGATGATGGTCTGATGATTTTTTTTTTTAATTTACAAGGATATTCTTTTTTATCTAAAAATGATTCGAAAAATTTTTAACACGAATATTATTAAGTTAGGCATGCTATTTATTTTGCAACAGCCCATGACGTCGGCAATTAGATGAAACCAGTAATGATAAAAATCCTTATTGTTAAAATGAGAAAAACCAAACTGGGAAATTTTCACAAACAATTTTATTTAAAAAAGAAAAATTACTTGAAATACAACAGTTTCGGTTTTTCTCATTTTTTAGAATCTTTCTTATGTTTTTTTTTTCTATTTCTATAAAAGTAAACCTATTTCCTTTCAAAAAGTAAATTAAGTTGAACTATATCTGTATTTTGAAAAACCAAAATACGGTGGGCACCATACATGCGCAAGTTTAGAGAGCCGAGCAGTGAAAGTGCTATTCTCGAGTTCTACCTTTTCTGAAAAATAAATCATTTATATTCTGTTTTAAAAGAATAATAATAAAGTTAAAGATACCAAATAAGTTTAACCAGTTTTCCGTAAGCTCACATTACCAAATCCTACTTCCAAATAGCTCACATCAACTATCGATTCCTGCAACAAATAATTCAATTAGTAACTATGCTTTTAAAGAAATTAATTGGCAAGTAATTTAAAACAAGTTTTAGTTTATAATCACTGTGTTGTTTTAAATTACTTTACCAATAATATTGCGTTTTATAAGAGCTATTTATGAAACCAGTTACGAAATTCCTTATTTCATGTAACGAGTGAATATTTGCGGGACGAACAGAGCGAGGTCACGAGTCACATAAAACAGCAGTTCGTAACGTGTTACATATATTTTTTCTAATTTTGACTAGAATATTTATAAAATTGAGTTTTGGTAAAAAATTACTGACATCTAGTCAACCAATATTACTAATTTCTTGTATTGTTAGTTGCATATGATTAACTTTATTCTTTTATTGACAAATAGAAAATCATATTTATTTATGCTCAACGACTTACATTGTAATGTGTTTATATTGCTTGATAAAGTTATTTAGATTTCAAGTAAGTGATTGTTGTGTATTGTTTTATTTTATACTAATTTAGAATAGGAAATAAGGACAAAAACAACATTATTACTAGGTTGTAAGTTTAACCAAATTCTATTTTTATAAAAACTTTTAATAATAATGTAAAAAAAGGTTTATTTTTATTTTTCTTTTCGTAACTGGTCTTTAAAAACAGATTTGGCGATTTTTCAAACATAATTAGACCAATTTCCAAAAGGGGTAATTGGTACAATTATTTCCAAAATGGGTAACTGGATAATTTTTCCAAAAGGAGTAATTATTAAAAATTTACATTTTAAGAAATGGGAGTTAAATTTCAAGAAAGGCGACAATGAAGGATGATAATTATTCAAAAATTAATAATTACGATAGGTTATTTTTAAGAAAACGGAGATGAACCAAAAGGCACAATTTTCTTTAAGAAATGGA